CACATAAAATGTTTCACAATTTTGGTGTAACATGCTGCGCGCGCACCCTGCGCACCCTGAATTTCCAACACTGGTTACTTGCAAAAAAATCATTTAAATTTAACATTAAAAGACAGAATTACAATCTTTATGTATTTATGTAATGGATTATGTTTGATACATAAGAAAGATTTGGTTCATTGTGATTTACATAGTGGTAATATACTTATGAAAGGAGGTGGTTGTTTTATTACAGATTTAGGATTATGTGGACCAATTGATGAAAAGTCATCAAATAAAGTCTATGGAATTGTATCATATGTTGCACCCGAGCTACTTAGAGGCAATAACACAAAGAATACAAAAGAGACTGATATCTATAGTGTTGGGATGTTAATGTGGGAAATATTTGCAGGTCATCCACCATTTTATGATAGAGCTCACAATCATTGTTTAATTTTTGATATATGTGAAGGTTTACGACCATCAGTATTACCTGGAATGCCTGATGATTATGCGCAAATGATGCAGAGGTGTTGGGATATGGATCCATCGAAAAGACCAACTAGTAAAGAGCTTTTTATTTTCGCTTATGATAAATATAAGGAAATTCATGATAATGAAAGTTTGAAAAATAATAGTAGCAATAATAGTATAAAACATGAAATTGATTTTAATAATGATAATAGCAGCAGCAGCAGCAGCAGCAGTGGTGGTGGTGGTGGTAGTTCGCAACAAGTACACAAATCACATCCCAGATGCATATCATAAAAGTAGAATATTGGATGAAGAGATTGCTAAGTCTAAAATTTTAAAAAGTTATACAAGTAATGACACCTCATTAAGTCTTGATATCAATTCTTTTCTCTAAAACGTTAACAAAGGTGAATAAAAATTTCATTATTAATTAATTGGAAATTACTATCCATTAATTCATAATTATTACTAAAAATACTTTTTTATTTACATTGATTGATTAGATTTCGATGAGTGACCAATTTAATCTCCACTATAAATTTATTTGTTGTGATTATTTATCTTTTTATTTTATTAAATTATAATAATAAAGTAATAAGCTTTTGATTCTTGTTAAATGATGATATTTCAAGGTATCCTTTTGATCACAGCCTAACTTTTGAGCTACTCTTGTTGGTTAATTGCAAATTCTGTGCTTGCCAATTAATTAGTTTTGAACTTACTTTGCTTCTCGCTTACTGCCTCTTTCTTGTACCTAGAAAGCTTCGACAAATCTATAAACACACTTAATGGTACCGAATAACTGTAAATAAATAAACTGACTCTTTTACAAAGCTCAAAGGCTTCTATAAAGTTCCTTTTATTCGCTTGTGACTGATCTATTTCTGTTGTTTACCCGATCAAAATAAAATCAGATCACATGATTTTTACAAAAGTTTTCCGATTACGACATTTAAAAACCAACTCTTCCTTATGTTGAGCGTCAAATTTATAATGATATTTTGATCTGCATATTTGAACCACCCAATGTTACACGCTATTGCTATATAAAATTTTTTAATTTTCATCTGAAATTTTTTCTCATTGATAGAAGATAATGGTTGAAAGTAAACAAGGCAAGATACCAAGTGAGAACACTTTAGATGAAAAGGTGACAAGCAAACAAATAAAAGAACTATTTATCTTAATTATTATATTTTTGCTTTTTTCAAATTCTAAAAAAGTTTTGTTTTTAACAAAAATCATCAATCAAATGAATAAATGACGAATAATTAATTAGTGGGATCATTGTTTATCTAATTTATTAGTAAAGACAGGAATTGGGTTAGGTGTTGGTATAGTCGCTTCAGCATTAATATTTAGAAGTAAGATTTATTTGAAAAAAAAAATATAGGAAGATATTATGAAAAATCTCTTTCCAATTAATTCTTTATTCGTTTGTATGTTTTAGAAAAATCATGGCCAATTACATTATCAACAGGATTTGGAGCAGGAGTAGCTTATGCTGAATGTCAAAGAATCTTTAATCCAATTGCTTTACCTGGTGTAAAAATAATTAAACAATCATCATCATCATCATCATCACCTTCTTCTCCGTCTTCTCCGCCTTCACCATCTATTTCACCATCATTAGCATCTTCATAATATTTGATGATAGTTGTGAAAACAGATAAAAAAAATTTTTTTTTGCTAGAAATTATTAATTAATTAAAAATACATCAACAATATTAACTATATAACTACACCTATTCAACTATTTTTTTATTACATGTACACACTCGTTATTATAAATAATTTATTGATGATATTTATAATCGTTGTTTAGAAACGAATTCATACTTTGAAAATGATGTTTTGAAAAAAAGATCAGCATTTTAAGATCTCATAAATTTCACTATTACTATGCAAAGCGAGTATGCCAAAAATGTTCAGAAATTGTATTAACTCAAAATTGCCTTTTAGGAGTATGGTTCGTTTCTATTCAAAAACCCCCCGTATGAGCAATTATAATGAACAGATCTGCAATTTATAGTTCACGCTCTATAACGGCCTTCCGTTCTCTGTTTGTTCGTTATTATTATAGAAAGAGAATTAAATCAGAAGTTCGTTATAGAGAGTGAACTGTATGATGAAAACATGTTTTAACGAATATATATATAACGTTGTACTTTTTTATAATCTCATTAGAAATCTTTTAAATTTCATGGTAGGGAATGCGAATCAATATTTTTAAACCGTACTTATTTATATTTTCCAGCAAATGCAGACTATAAAAAAGATCATCAAAATCGTGTAACGGTTAGTAAAAAAAAAAAAAGTAAAAAAGCATTAAAAAAACATAATTGTAAACGAAAAATGGCAGATGAAGGCAAGAGCTATATTTAGGTTCAATCAGTAATAATTTTTACTTGATTTACTGCACTCGAATTTTTACCGTTATTTTTTTTTACAGAACAAATTATTCGTGATAGACTTGCAGTCGAAGAGCGTAGTCTTCGTCGAGTAGTTAAAAAACATGCATTGTTGATGAATTCATTAGAACAAGGAAATTTAAAAGAAGTGTGTGTATTTTAGTTGATAGAGATTGTTTTCAATAATAATAGAACTGGTTATTTTTTACAATATATTAAAGGACTATTATTTCTTGGTGATTTTTTTGAAATTAAAAGTCAACAATTATATAATGATTTTATTGTAGACTTTACTTCATATGAATTAACATTAACCCGTTTTCAAGCAATTCATAATGTAAATATCCAAGAAACTCAACATTGGTTAATGGAAGCTCGTAGGATTGGTAAATTATAAATAGATTAATTATAATTTCAAATATTCTAAAAAATATTTTATATATAATATTTTGGTGTTTTATAAAAAAAACTTTTAGAGCAAGAAATCGAGGCCACAAAAAAAGTTATCGAGAATTTAGAAAAAGAATTGAAAGAAGAAGAAGAAATACGTAGAAATAAAATACAGTATGATGCTTTGGCAATGGAAATCAATCAACATAAATCAAGAGAAGAATCAACAAAGTTTGTTTTATATATATATATATATATATATATATTTTAAAGTAATATTATTATTAATATTATCATGATTTTTTATTTTAGCGAAATAGTAAAATTGGATGAAGAAATTTTGATACTTGAAGAAAAAGACAAATTTCTTAGTGGTATTTTAGAAAAACGTAGTAATCAATTAGAAAAGGTTTTATTGGTTGTTAATGAAATTCAAACAGAAATACAAAATGACAAAGAACAGTATGAACAAATACTTGAAGATAATGATGAACATGTCAATACACCATCTTCTGTTAGAAGTGAATTTATTTCGCCAGTTGAAAATAATTCACCAAATTTATCACCTCAACAATTGTTGAATGATATAAATGACATATCATCATCAAACTTAATACAAAACGATGTTAATATGTTAGATGCCCAACCTTCAAATAACAATGATAATAACAATGATGATGATACAAGCATACTAAGCTCCCACACATTAGGTGATAAAAATAATGAAAAAATGGATGAAGATGATGTAGCTGCTACCGATGAAATTGGAATGGATGAAGATGATGTAGCTGCTGCTGATGAAATTGGTGATAGCATGAACGAAGACGCAACTGTTACAAGCAAAGATGAAAGTGATGATATTGTTGCTGATGATATTGATAATGATGCAGTAGAAAGCAGTGAGGATGACAGTAATGAAATAGTAGAAGATGTAATAGATTCTAATTTTACTGTAAAAAGGAAAAAGGAAACTTTTTCAGGTGATGAAGAGGAAGAGGATGTTGAAAATGATGATGATAGACATGATGATGATGATGATGATGATGATGACAAACATAATGATGACGACAATAACGAAAAAGGAGAGAATGAAGAAAATGAGGGAGGAGGAGGTTCAATAGAGGAGAAACAAGTTGGATTACCAGATGACGATGATGATGAGGGAGCGATTGAAGAAAGTGATGAGGGAGTTATTGAAGATGATGAGATGGTAGAATGAAATTAGAATTAGAATTACAATTTTGTATTAGTATGTTTTAATATACTATTATATTTCTAATAGATTTATATTTAATTTTTACAAAATAAAAAATTCAAAAAAGAGAATATTAAATTATATTGTATGATCTTTATTTAAATTCATCATATAAAGTTCAAACCAAAATTTTTATTTTATTTTTTTTTGATCTTTGGCCATATAATTAATTATTTTTGCTTTTTGTTGTATTCACAATTGCAAATCGATCTACAATAATTTTCTTAGGAAAGTTAATTTTATTAATAATATTGCATTTTCCTAATTAGAGATTAAAAATGTTATTCATTACCTCTCTTGGAGTTTGTGGAGGTAGGAAAGGTGCATCCTTACACCCATTCTATTTTGAATTGAATAATCTTTTCTATTTCGCTCACGAGCCTATGTTTCATATATTGAAGGATGAAATTCACAATATTAAAATGTAAAATTATATAATAGACATACTAAACTTTCCCATGGGCAATTCGTCAGTCATTGATTGAATTAAGCTGATCAAATTAATTCATGTTTGGGTCTTCTGAACTTGTTGTTGGTATAGTGTTGTAAGAAAAAATTTTTAAATTCGTAAATATATAATACTGTCTATATTTTGATTGCAAATGAAAAAGTGATAATAATAATAAATAGCAATAACAAAAGTCATATCATACACAAGACAAGTTGGCGAAATGGATTGAATCAGAAACTTAGGCAATTGTAAACATAATTCAAAGTGTATGTGATAACTGAACATAAAGCCTTTCTTTCTTTTAGTCAGATCTCCCAATCTTGTTGAATAGTATAATCCTATATAGAAATAGAGAACAGGCATTAGAAAATACTATAGCTTAAAGTTAAAGCGAACAAAATAAAATGTCAGCACATTAAATATATACATCAATCTTCATTGTTTGGAGTTTTGAATCATTTCACACTTTTCTAATACCAAATAATATGCTTTCTTCAGTTTATCAATTGCACAGGATCGGTGTGCTGGGTGAATCATGTGGAAAAAACCTAGAGGTGTTGCTGTTGGAGCTTATGATCATTTTTCATCTTCGTTGGTAGTATCTTGCCATAAGCAAAAAAGACAGAAATCATTATTAGTAAAGCCTTAGACAAAATCAATCAATCAATCAATCATCGAAACAGGTTGCTGATTACAAAAGCCAGCTGTCTCTTGATGACAACTCGCCATTGCTGGCTTCCAACAGGCTTAACCCTGCTGCAGACTCCTTTGTACTCAACAATCCTCTTCCTCATTCTGTGCAGTAAAATCAGCCAGCTGCCTCTTGATGACAACTCGCCATTGCTGGCTTCCAACAGGCCTAACTCTGCCGCAGACGCTAGGGATGGTATATAACATGTTATAAATAATTTGAGGGGTATATACCATATTTATACCTGGTATATACCATGGTATATACCACAATTGATTTCTTGTGTAATTTTTTAGTAGGGTATATACCGGGTATAAATGGTATATACCTTTGGTTGGTATATACCACTAATATGTAATATGTAATAAGATAACAATTTTGGTTTGAATATTTATTTATAAGAAATACTAATTGCAATAAACTTATGTTATATATCTTCATAGATTCTTGATTGCTACTACTATCTTCTAAATTAATAAATTCATCAAAATCATTATCATCATCATAATTTTCACCATCATAATTATAGTCATTATAATTGAAATCCAAGTCATTGTCAATTTCTTCATTTTTAAATGCTTCCCAAAATAGTGGTTTTGGTAAAGTAACCATGAAATCCAACCATCACTTGTTATACAGACATATTTTGATTTTTCAATTTGATTATTATTATTTTCAGTAATTTCATTATATTTATCATTTAACAATTTGACAGCAGTGAGTGTTTTTCTAGATGGTAATTCATAAGCAGGATGTAGTTTTTTACAAAAATTGATAAAATACTGATTTTCTACAATTGATAAGGGGAGACCACTACCAAAAATTGCTAGAGATAAATTGTCTAATCCTTCTTTTTCTTTAATTGGGCATTTATCATGAACCCTTCCATGACTTTTGTTTATTTTTTCCATGAATATTATCAAAATCTTTCCTTTTAGTTTTATTTTTTAATTCATTTGGTGTGCTATTACAATAAAGTAAATGTTTAATCATGGAAAGAGGTCATTCATCAAAAGCATGTTGACAATAATTACAAGAAGCTATATAATGATTGCTTGTTATTGTTATTTTTTCTTTCTTGTGACTTTTTAACAATAAAATGCTGTGGTCATTTAAAAAAATATATTATTTTGTACAACCATGGTATAAACATGGTATAAAAGCAGCAATGGTATATAACATGGTATATAACGGGTATATAACAGGGTATAAACTAGGTTGTTATAAACCCGCCCATCACTAGTTTGGAATGGGATGTTTGTTATTCTATAAATCTCTTGAGGTGACTGTATTCCTTCATTCCAGAAATGTAAGATGACTTCAGTATGTATTTTTTTTTAACTTGTGATAACATTTTAACTTGATTTATAATAATATATTAACTCAAGACTATATATGAAAGTTGGTGCGTTACAAGACGTTGTTGTTTAAATGTGATATTTGTTTATATGATATTTATTAAGATCAAAGTCACATTAAATTTTATTACATAAATACAGAGGGGCAGGATTTTCTTCCCGTACTGTACATTTTATTAGACAAATGCTTGTTTTTATATATTTAATTTTTATCGATCTATTAATTTTTTTCTTTGTAGTATACAAATTCTATCAATAATTCCAAAAAAGATCGAATTAAAGACAACAAACAATCAATATTCTAAATAAATTTCTAATCCATCACGATCAGAGCTGGGTTCGAAAAATAGAAATCTCTCTTGAATGCAATAAATTTTCGGAAGATAAATTTTTTGGGTGCTAAATTTCCATTTGTTTTTTTTATTCTTCTGTTTTTCTATTTTTACTATCTTCTCATTAGTAATGTATCGTGTGAGATGATATTTTGATTAACGCATGTGAATCTGAAATGTGTCAGCATTACGTAAGTCCATTACTATGCTAGAAAAAGGTAATTAAATACACTATTTCCATCATTATTCAATGCATTCTCAACAGTCAAATTTCCTGATTCTTTTTGTTCTTCGCTACTATATTAATATAATTTTTTTAATTTCAATTTATTTGCTAAAAATTCAAAAGATGCATTCTGTGTTTCTTTTGTAAAATACTGAAATAATGACGTTATTTTAAACAAAATGCACGATATTTTTGAGATGCAGATGGAACATCGTTACAAATTCAGGAAGAAAAAAAAAGTCCGGCGACTTTTTTTTTTCCGGAAATTAATAATATTGTTATTATTAATAATATTAAAGAATTTTAAACAATTTCCAGCCCTGCATCATTGTTTTAAAAATAAGAAATTGATCTTTTTTTTTCTATTCACACTCCCGATTAATAGTGATAGTAATAAAAAAAATTTTCCCTGTTTAGGATGGGAATGTATAATTACAACCCATACATGCAAGTTGGTCCATTCAACTAGTAATAATATAGTTAATGCGAAAATTCGCGAATTTTCACAAAATTGCACAATAAAATAACAATATTAACAATATATTTTAATATATAATAGAAACGAAATAACTTTTTTTTTTTGAATACTTTTAAAAAATAAAGAATGGACAATTATTACGATAACAATCCAAGTAAAAGAATAGAAAAAATTAAAGCAAAATCAAAAACAATCATTAGTGATTTACCAAAAAATAGCATAAAATATGTTTTATCATTATTTCCAATTCTATTTTGGATAAAAAATTATAATTTGATATGGCTTTCGGGTGACATAGTCGCAGGGTTGACAGTTGGCTCAGTCGTAATACCACAAGGAATGGGATATGCTGTTTTAGCTTCGCTGGAACCTGAATATGGATTATATTCATCGTTTGTTGGTGTATCAATATATTGCTTATTCTCCACTTCGAAGGATATCACTATAGGACCAACCGCTGTAATGTCATTATTGATTGGTCAGATAATAACTGAAATAGAAAAAAATAACCCTGATATATATTCTGCTCCACAAATTGCCATCTCCTTGGCTTTGATCTGTGGTTTGATTTCTCTGGTAATTGGTTTATTAAGACTTGGGATCATTGTTGATTTTATCCCTGCCCCTGTTGTTGCCGGATTTACTACTGGATCAGCCATAACAATCACTGTTACTCAGGCAAGTTATTAAAAAAAAAATAATTAATTAAAATAAAATAAATAATGATATATTTTTATTATTTTTATTATTTTTATTATATAGATTCCTAAATTGTTGGGAATAACAAATATTGATAGTAAAGAAGCAGCATATTTGGTATTAGGAAAATCTTTAGGAGGGTTACCACGTGTAAAAATAGACGCAGCATTAGGAATATTTTCATTGGTTTACTTGTACGGATTAAAACATGGATCAAGATATTTGGCAAAACGTTATCCAACAAAAGAGAGATTGTTTTTCTTTATTGAAATATTAAGAAACATTACTGTGGTTATCATTTGTACACTTATTGCATTCCTATTGAATATTGGTAAAGATACAAATCCATTCAAAATATTGAAGAACGTACCAAGTGGATTCTCTCACATTGGACCTGCATATCTTGATTTGCCATTAATGAGATTGATTGCAAACTATTTGCCTAGTGTCACAATAATCATGATATTAGAACATGTCGCAATCGCCAAAAGTTTTGGTAGAATAAATAATTATAAAAGTAGGTTGAAAATGAATTAATTTTTTATATAATTTTTCTCCCAACACTAATATTCTATTCTCGATACTCTTTAATAAAAAGTAAATTCAAATCAAGAATTAATCGCTATAGGGACAACTAATATACTTGGTTCGTTTTTTGGTTCATATCCTACAACTGGGTCGTTTTCTAGAACTGCTTTAAAAGCAAAATCAGGTGTTAGAACCCCTTTAGCTGGGGTATTTGCTGGTATATTAGTAATACTGGCATTATTTTTCTTGACTGAGGCTTTTTATTATATTCCTGATGCTGTTTTAGCGTAGGTTTTTGCACGTTTGATAATTATAATGACAATATTATTATTGAGAATTAATTAAAAAATTAATTAATGAATTTTTAGAGCCATCATCATACATGCAGTACTTAGTTTATTATCCGGGCCTACTTATATAAAGCAATTATGGGACATTGAATGTAATTGTTTGTTTATTTATATTTATGTGTATTTTTTTTTTTTTTTTGTGAAAAAAAAAATAATATATATTAAAAAATTATTTTTTAGTTTGGGATTTTTCAATATTCGTTTTAGGAGTAGTGTTCACATTCTTCTTTACTGTTGAGGTAAATATATTAAATATCTTATACAATTATATTAATCTGTGCTAGTGCTAATCACAATATATATATATATATATATATTATAGATTGGAATATATGTAACAACAATATTAGCACTTTTGGTGATATTAGTACGTTTAGCAAGAGCAAAATATGAAATATTGGGAAAAATCAAATTAGCAAGTCCATATATCGACGATAGTAATAGTAATAATAATAATGAGAAAAACTCATATGCATACGTACCTTTAAATTCTAAATATTTCAAATCAGCAATTCAACCACCTGATGGAGTATTAATATTTAGATTGGATGAATCATTGACCTATCCAAATGCTTCATACATTGATGATCAAATTGTAAAATACTGCAAGAAGAACACTCAAAGAGTTTACCAGCCACCACTAAAAAAAGGTGATCGGCCATGGAATGATTTTACAGTTTACGGTGATGCCAGTAAAGAAGAGGAGGTAGAAAATTCAAAAAAACCAATTCTGAATGCTATAGTATTTGATTTTATCGCAGTCGGTTCCTTGGATTCAACTGGACTACAATTTTTAATTGATATGAAAAAGGAGTTGAACAAGTATTCTGGACATCATGTAGAATATCATTTTGCCAATGTTATCAGTACTAGTATTAAAAATAGTTTAATTGTCGGTGGGTTTGGAACTTTAGAAGGTGAAAGTGGGCATGTTACGGAAGGTGATGTTGTAGAACAAATTGCATTAAGTCATAATGATACAATCAATGAAAATAAAGTTGATAATAATGATGATTTGGAGAAAAATCTTGCCACTCCTAGCAATAATAGTAATAGTAGTAATAGTAATATCGACACTCTTAATGTCGATTCTAATACAAATGATATTATTAAAAATGATGACGACGACGTAAAAAAAGTTAAAAATAGGACTCGTAAAAGATATTTTCATTTGACTTTACAAGAGGCTGTAACTGCAGCAACCAATGGTGTTTGGTAAAATAGTTATATTATATAATATTGTATATATAAATCATGTATTTGTTAGTGTAAAAATTCAAATTTTAAGATTACATTTTAATAAACATAAATTACCTGATGAGAAGGTTTTCCAACATCAACAAACTACTGACTCCATTCTAGAACCTTGTTCACGAAAAATTTTGAAATTTTTCATTTGTTAAAGCTCATTCCTTTTGATAGATAAAGATCAAATTAAAAAACCTTTAAAATAGATATTATTTGTAAAATGTCAATTTCTTTTTCGAAATCGGAATGCCCTTACCTAAAATCGAAACAATAGTCAATTGCGGGAGAAACCCTAAACTAGTTTCGGATCACAGCATTGGTCGAAATCAAAATTGAAAATTGAATTGAAATCGTTTGTAATTTATTCAGTATGGCAAATAATAAAGAATTAATTATAAATCTATATGAAAGTTTTTTACGTGAATCAATTCCTTTTTAGACGATCTGCACAAATGCAAAATTGTGTAAATTTACTATGTAAAAATCACCTGGATTTTTAATGTATTATTAATATACTCTTATATAAAATTAAATTAATATTAATATTAATATAAAATTCCGCTAAAAATCCTTTTATTGATAGATCGGCGTTATAAAAAAATATTGTAAAAACGAAAAAAGTGGCAGTTCGACTTTTATTTCGGTCATAAAATCCAAATTTTCAATGATATACGTACATATTTAATTTCTATCAACTAAAAAAAGATACAGAATATTCATATTAATCTGCTCTGTAAGTTTCTTTCTTTGTCCACAGGGATATTTATTGAATGGTATCCCAAATCAATTTTTGGTCACCACCACATGGATTTAGTTTGATCTTAATAGCCAATGATTAATTGTGAATGTTTTGACCATTTTGATCTATGTTAATCCCAAATTGGTGCCTATAAATATCTTCATAAAATCATCAACGTTACTATCAAAACTAAAATATAAAAATTTAAAGACATTGCCTCAATATATTAATGCCAGAAATTAGATGGAGATAATTTGACGCCCGTGATGTTTAATCCTACGTCCCCCCGATTGCTTATATTTACAATTGTAAATGATAGTAATATGTTCGTGTGACATCACCATCTCCCGAAGAAGGAATTGTTGTTTGTCTAAGTTTTAATTAAAAAAAAGTTAGATTCTTAGAAATTGATACTGATAATAATTTTGATGCATCATCGTAATTTTTGATGATATTATTTATATTTTCATTATCCATCAATCTTATTTTTATAAGTCGTTATTTTATCCACACGTTTAGCCAATGATCGATTTCAAAAATTCTCAATTTTCCAATTCTTTTTTTCCTTTTTTTTAAAAATAAGATGTATCAGAGTACAAATTAATGCGGTAGTAAGCACTGACCGTTCAATTAGATATTATTGTTATCGTCAGTTTTTTAATAGTGATATCAGGTGTTGGGGGCCATTTAGAATTATTCATTTAAAAAGACCTACAGAGTCACTTTCTATTTTTGGAACACTATCCGCTGACCGTAACCGTGTATAGTAATAGGCAAGCCTCAGTTTCAGTCAATAGAAAAATGATAAATGGGTAAATTATTGTTCATATCATTTTAAATGAGATATTCAAAATTAATGCTCGCAAACACATGAAATTCGGGATCAACTTTTAATTAAATTATGAAATTATATGAAATCAAAAATGAATGAGTAAAAATTATATAATAATGAAATTATAACTATTTTTTACCTTTTACTTCCTGTTGTTGTTGTTGTTTGAATAATAATGTTAATAATAAATCGTTTTATTTTTATTTAATAAAGAGTTGTGTGTCTTTAGATAACAACAACAATAATAATAATATTTATAATTAGCATTCGTTCAAACCTTTTTTTTTTTGCTGGTTCATTCAAAAAAACTACTCAACTTAAAATCCAGTTCAACAGTGCAATTCAAACTTCAACTCGAATTCTAACAACAACATAATATTCTTAAATTGTAGTTCTAGTTGGTGGTGGTAGCGGCTTAGCTGGATTTGTAGATGATTTATGAAAAAAAAATAGTAATGTGTATTGGATAAAAAACAATAGTGAATTGGATAAAACAATTATAATAAATAAATAAATAATAATAAATAAATAAATAAGTAAATAATTAAATTTTTTTTCTCCGGACATCATTCTCGACAAACATTTAAATAATTGTTTAGAACAATGTCTTCAGCAAACCTTGACCAATTGTTTGATTTATTACCAAAATTACCACCACCACCACCACTGCCATCAATAATATCATCATCAATACCAACACTAACACCTACTAGTAATATAACAACACCCATAACCACCGCACCATCGACCTCTTCAACCTTTCCTAGTTTTACAACACCTACAAGTACAACTTCATCCAGTAGTAGTAGCGTTAATGTTGGATTACCTAGTAGTACCACAGACGCACAAAATAATTCTGGTGGTAGCACAACAAGTACTGCGACAATAATCATAACTGCAGTGTCAATAGGATTAGTAACTTTGGCAATAAGTGCACTGATAACATTTTGTGTACGTAAACGATTAAGATTATTGAGATCGTCTAAACGAAATACAGATTTTTTTGATGATTTCAATCCAAGTAGCAATTCTATTTTTGATATTAACAGGAAACATGATGGTTACAGTGATGGTAAAGGAAAAAGATTTTCGTCGATTTTTGAAAAAAATACAACATCAAGAATAAATAATACAGACAGAGATGTTTCTAATAATACTTTGGCAACTACTCCGAGAAAAATATTAAGAAGTAATGGTCGTCATAATGGTAATGATTATGACCAACCATATCAGAATCCAGCTTATAAACAGCAACCATTTAATCCTC